CAAGGCAACGTGGTGTTCGAGATGTCGCAATCATAGCCTTTGGGCACCACAAGGGGGAGCGACCACGGGGTAGGACCTTTGCCCGCTGGCGCCCAGCATGCGGGGGCATCTCACACGAAACGCTGTTTTTTTTGAGCTGGGCGTGCTTTTGTTCAGGGCCGCCAGGTAGAACGCGAGTATTTGGGCACCCCAAAGAGGGAGGGGGGCGCCCAGATTGTGGGGACGTCCCAAGCGAACAGCTGGCTTTTGGAAACCAGACATGTAGTTATCGAAGACGCCTACGGCGAATCACCGCCGCCCCCTGCCTTCGTGGAAGCGCCTGTGTGGCCGAACGTTGAGGCCAGACCTGCCAAGCTATCGGACCATGTGTTCCCCGAATCGGTTCGGAAAGCCTTCGGGGAACACGCGGGCATCTTGAAGGTCATCTTGGCCGTCTGGAGGCCATTTTGACCCTTTCGGGCCTTCTTGGAGGACGCCTTGGAGGGCTCTTGGGCCGTCTTGGAGGCAATCTTGAGCGTCTTGGAGGCCTCTTGGGCCGTCTTGGGGGCCTCTTGGGGCCGTCTTGGGCCTCTTGGGCGATCTTTGGGGGCTCTTGGGCCGTCTCGGGCTGTCGGAAGGCCGAAAAAAAGCAAATGCCACAATCCTTCAAAAACTCACGGGAAATCAATGATTTTGGCCTTTTCGGGCCTTCCTGGAGGCCCTCTTGGAGGCCTCTTGGGCCGTCTTGGGCCATCTTAGTGCCATCTTCGGCCGTCTCGGTGTGCCTCTGTCCCGTCGGAAGCCGTTTGGAGGGCCTCTCTGAGCTGACTTGGGGCCCTCTTGGAATGCTCCAGGGCCGTCTTGGAGGCCATCTTGGGCGTCTGAAAAGCCTCCTGGGCCGTCTTGGGGGCCTCTTGGGGCCGTCTTGGGGGCCTCTTGGGCCGTTTTGGGGCCACCTTGGAGGCATCCTTGGGCGATTTTTGGGCGGGGCTCTTGGGCCGTCTCGGGCCGTCGGAAGGCCGAAAATGCCACAATCATTCAAAAACCTAAAGGAGATCAAAGATTTCGGCCTTTTCAGGCCTTCCTGGAGGCCCTCTTGGGGGCCTCTCGGGCCGTCTTGGGCCAGCTTCGAGCCAACTTCGGCCATCTTGGTAGGCTCCTGGCCCGTCTGACGCCGTCGGGAGCCGTCTTGGGGGCCTCTCTGAACCGAATCTTGGGCGTCTTGGAGGTCTCTTGGGCCGTCTTGGGGCCCTCTTGGGGCCGTCTTGGAGGCCTCTTGGGCCGTCATGGTGCCCTCTTGGAGGCCTCGTGGCCGATCTTGGGGCGATCTTGGCGGCCTCTTGGGCCGTCTTGAGCCGTCGGAATACCGAGAAGAGGCAAATGCCCAAATCCTTCAAAAACGTAGGGAAATCAATGATTTTGGCCTCTTCGGACCCTCCTGGAGGGCCTCTTGGAGGCTTATTGGGTCGTGTTGGGCCGTCTTGGAGGCTTGTCGGGCGACCTTGGAGGTATCTTGGACTCTCTTGGGCTGCCGTGGAGGCCGTCAAGGACCATCTTGGGCGGACTTGGAGGCCATCTTGGACCATCTTGGAGGCCATCTTGGGCCAACGTGGCCATCTTGGAGGCCATCTTGGACCATCTTGGAGTTTTTTTTTCCAGATTGAGGTCCTTGGCAATCTTTCCGGGTGGCCAGCGGGACGCGCAGGAGGCCCATGGGGCGTTCTTGTGGAAAAGAACCAAAACCAAAAACCGAAAGGGTCTAGCACGCCAGGCACCCCTGTGATGAGTCAACAGGGGGCGGCGGATCCAGCTGCCTGCAGCAAGTCCCGCCACCGTGCCTGGGTTGTGGTTTATATGCCTAGTGGATGTTCCTTGGAATCAGGTGGGATGTCTCTCGGGGGCCTCTCGGAGGCACTTTTGAAGCCTCTTGTGGGCCGTTTTGGGGACTCTTGGGGGCCTTTTGGTGGCCTCTTGGGGCCTCTTGGGGGGCCTCTTGAGGGCCTCTTGGGGCCTCTTGGGGGCCATTTGGGGCCTCTTGGGAGCCCCTTGGGGCAGAAAGCTCCGTCTTGGGGCCCTCTCGGGCTATCTTGGGTGCCTCTTGGGCCGACTTGTGGCGCCTCTTGGGCCGACTTGTGGCGCTCTCAGGCCGTCTTGGGGCCCTCTTGGAAGCCTGTTGGGCCATTTTGGGGTGATCTTGGGGGCCTCTTTTACCATCTTGGAGCGTCGGAAAGCCGAGAAGGCTTGGCGGGATGGGGGCCGCTGGCACACCGCACCAGGCCGCGGCCCTTGTATATGAGGTGTAGCCGTGGTACCGATAGGCTCGCAATCAGAAGGCGCTGTTTAGTTGGCAGTTCTCTGCAGCCGTGGAGCCCTCTGGCATGCTGTGGACGAGCCTTTCTCTGAAGGAAGGCGCTTCCATGTTGGCTGGATTGGAAGGCCTGCCATACATCCTACTGCGGACTCGACGCCATAGTCCGTCCCACCCTCGCGGGTTGCCGCGCATATTCAAAGTCCCGCCACAGCCAACGAGGCGGCGCTTCCTTTGGGAATGCCGAGGGATAATGTGAGGTTGAGAGGCAGTGGGAGCATGAGGATGCGCCATGATACGCAGCGTCTTCGCACTCGTGCCATGTTGGCAGCGTTTCCACGCCACTTTCGCTGCGGAGGCTATGTGAGCGGCGCATAGTGTTTTCCCAGCCAGGCCTCCTCTGATGCGCTCCAGTTTTGGTCGGGTAGTTGAAGATGAACAAAGTGCATTTTGCGTTGGTGTCGGCGCCTGCGGCCGTCTTCTGCTTTGCCTGCACTAGGCAGTGGTGCTCTCTTGGGGATGGCTTGTGTAGGCGGACTACTCCATACCTTCACCCCAGCAGCGGGCGATTACTCCTGCCTGGCCCGTTGGGCGCCTTGCTCTTCTTCTGCGCTCGCCTCCTCTACATCCTCCCATCGCAGGGCCACCGTGGCATCAGAGCAGGTATGCTGCGCGAATCGTTTCGCATTTTTTCTCCCGACTCATGGGGTCCGATCCGCGCGATGGTTTAGGCTCATGGCGCGGGCAGGCAGCCTCTGATATATATATATATATATATGGCCAGTGGCTATCCTCATCGTTATCATCGCCGCCCCCTCTACCTCTCCCTCGCGTCCTTAATTTCGTGTCCCCTTTCCCCTGCGGGTTCGCACTTCGGCTCGGCCCTTCTTCGTTCTTCTCCGCTGCTTGTGTCGTCTGCCTCTTCCCTTGGGGCGAGCAGTCTCCAGCAGCTCTGGCGGTCTCTTTGGAGATGCCCTCCTGCAGCGCGTGCAGAAGATCCAGTGCGAAGTTCTGGGGGCGGGCGGGCTGGTCTCTGCTCGGGCTTTTGGCCCGCATTTGGCCCGCGCCAGGACCCGAGTGTGTGTTCGAATCCTCGGCGCACGCTTCGACTCCCTTGTGAGTATTCGCTGCTATAGATTTGCTTTGCTGGACCGTTTTGCCAGTTTAAGAGGCGCAGCCATCCCTTCGATTTCCAGGCCAGAGATGTTGCCGTTGGGGCACGGCGCGCAGCATCGTTTCACGCGGCTGGCGGATCGCCAGAGCCGGCCTCAAGATGAGGATTGCCAGTCGTTTTTTTCTCCACGGGCGTGGGCGCTCAAGGGCCGATGCGGTTGAGCCTGGAACCCTTCGCCGCGGTTCCGCAACCGTGGTCGCCTCTCAGCGACGCGCCTCCCGCGGGAGAAGCGACGCATAGCGACGCGAGGGAAGAAGGGACCCCAGGACAACGGCGTGAAGAGGAGGAACCAAACTGCCTTGAGAGGATGCCGCAGATTTGGCTAGAGAGTCCAGAAGAGCGAAATACCAGCGGTCATGTTTGGTGCGTTGATCCATCGGCGGCGACGACGACGACGACGACGACGACGACGACGACGACGACGACGACTGCCTCCGCTGGCGCGCCCGCGCGCGCCGCCCCCCAGCCTCGCCGGCGACGCCGCGGCGGGGCCGGGCGGCCTCGACGGCGCGCGGGTGTGGCTGGACCGTGCTTCGCTACCGGCGCCAGTGGCCCTGGACGGGTGGGGGTCGCTCTCCTCGTCGTCGTCGTCGTCGTCGTCGCCGTCATCGTCGTCGTCGTCGTCGCCGTCATCGTCGTCGTCGTCGTCGTTGTTGTTCTTGCTGCTGCTGTTGTTTTTGTGGTTGTGGTTGTGGTTGTGGTTGTTGTTTGTGGTTGTGGTTGTTGTTGTTGTTGTTGTTGTTGTTGTTGTTGTTGTTGTTGTTGTTGTTGTTGTTGTTGCTGTTGCTGTTGCTGTTGTTGTTGTTGTTGTTGCCATTGGCTGCTGCTGCTGTTGTGGTGGTTGTTGTTGTTGTTGTTGTTGTTGTTGTTGTTGTTGCTGCGGCTGCTGCAGTTGTTGTTGTTGTTGTTGTTGTTGTTGTTGTTGTTGTTGTTGTTGTGGTTGTGGTTGTGGTTGTGGTTATGGTTGTGGTTGTTGCTGTTGCTGTTGCTGTTGTTGATGTTGATGTTGTTGTTGTTGCTGTTGTTGTTGTTGTTGTTGCTGTCGTGGTCGTGGTCGTGGTCGTGGTCGTGGTCGTGGTCGTGATCGTCGTCGTCGTTGTCGTCGTCGTCGTCGTCGTCGTCGTCGGGGGGGCCTACGGCGTCGCGTCGCGTCGCGGGGGGCGGGGGGTCAGTCTGGCGTGGGCCTGCGAATCCCAAGGAGTTCGAATGATTCCTCGGGGTTTAAGGGTTCTCATCCGCATACCTGGACTGCGACCCGCGAGCACCGGGCCGCAGTCCGGTTTTGCACCTTGTTGTTGTTATTGTTGGTGTTGAACTCACATTTCTAAACAATTATGGTTCATCACCCCCTCTCTGGGGCACATTGTGTTTTTTCGTTTGAAGTGCCCTTCCCGGGGCTCGCACCCTGTTTTTAACAAGGGGAAGCGATGGGCCACCAAATTGGGCCCCTGGCCGCCAGGTTACAACAACAACGGCTTCCGCCTGATACATCCTCGCAAGGTTTTCCAAACGCGCACTCTCACGCGAGATTTCATCACACGTTATGCAGGAATCGCGCTCTCGCGTGGGACTTCTTCGCGATTGTTGACGCTTCGCGTCTTCGCACCAGCAGACGGAGCATTTCGCTCAGTGCATGTGCACACCACGCATTGCGTGTAATTTGCCGTTCTCCGTTACCCCGGGCATCGCTGTTGCCGCCAGACCGTTGTCGCGCGGCCGCCGACCAAAAAGTATTCCCACCAGCGCTCCGCGAGCCACGCACCACGCTATGGCCCTTTCCGTACCCCGAGTCTACTGGAGACTTAGTGGAAGGTACCATGGGCATCTGCGTCCCCTGGCAGAATGTCCACCTGCAGTACAGGACCGCCTTTGCTGCAGCGTGGGGTCTGTCGCTCAACGCCCTGACCACGCTGCATGGTAAGTTCGAGGATGCAATCTTGCACATCAGCAGGCTGGCCACGTTCGCGCATCACCACCCAGTTACCCTCGAACACACTTGCCCACGGACTTGGGCGGAAATGCGAGAGAGTAAGTTTATCCTGGAGGCGCCCGTGAGGGTCTTGGAGGTGTTTGTCAATCCTGCCAAGATCGACCCCCTCGAGCGCCACCGTTGCTCCAATTGCGCTCTGCATGTTGGGCTCACCGGGTCTGAGCAGGGACTCGGGAACCCAGATTCATGGAGGGGCTGCAATACATCGGGGGAAGAACAGCCATGTCCAAGAGGCGGCTCGATCATGACAGACCAGCGGCTCTCGCCCCAGGGGTGCTGCTCACTCCCCCGCGTGTAGATTACGGACGATTCGTCAGTGCAGGACTCAAAGAAGCTTCGTTCAACTGCGATGGCGATGGGTGCGCTAAGAAGGGGTTTAAGTACTATGCTGGCACATGGGAAGACGACGACACAAGGGAACTCCTGGCTCAAAACCGTGGGCAGGCATACATGCTCGGGAAAAACTGCAGATGGCGATGCGAATTATGCTGGATCGCATCCGTTGAGAGAAGAGGACTTCCCACGCCTACTGCGCCGACGGGGTGCCCCCTGGATAAATCTATGGGCAAGAGAATTCAAGACCACACGTCCAACCTGGCCGGTAAGCTGCAGGACAGGAGGGCATCTGCGCTCCCATTGCTGGCACACCTCCCTCTTGGGTACGGGCTCGCTCCCATGGCGGCAACGCCAGAGTCGCTTCGTGACCTAGTCATGTTGGCCGCCAGTGTCTTCCGGCCGCAGGAAGCCCACATGACCCTCCCAGCCCAGAAGCTGTTGGTCGGGAGGCTTGGCTTTGACTCCCACGTGTCCAGAACCTGCGCTGCCAGATGTGACGCTTGCCCGCCAGGTGCGCCCCTTCTTTTTGGAAAACTGATCAGTCTGCCCTGGGCTGTTTTCTCTGGCGGCCAGAAGCGGACGTAGCCGTCGACGCCGACGCGGGCCCCCCTGCCTGGGTAGACATGCCAACACTCTGGATTCGAAGGAAATGGAATGCCAGCTGGTCCTGTAGGAGGTGCCTGGTGCATATCTGGAACGTCGCTCCTGGCGCGCTCGACCATATTCTCGACGAGCAGTCGGCCAACGTCTACCCTAAGGACCCGACTGAGCGAGAAGCTCCTGCAGGTATTGAAGTTGACACACCGGACATTGCAATGCACTTCCGCCCTGGCGCTGCCAGCGCAGCTGAAATGGACGTTTGCTCCAAGCCAAGAGACGGTTCAGGCGGAGCGCCCTCCGCGAGCGGAGGCGCGGGCTCTTCAGACGCCGGCCCTCGCTCGCGCGGAGTTCCCAGGCTCCATGAGATCGATGCCCTGCTACCTGAAATCACCCCATCCTCGGGGTCCCCAGCTGCCAGCCCGCTCCGCCGCTGGACTGCTGACTCTACTGACATTCATCGCGCCCTGGTTCGGTTTTTGCTGGACTGGGGCCCCGGCGTCTACTGTCGATTGACCGACTTCGCAAGGCAGCGCGGGCAGGGGATTATCGGTGACAAAGCTGACGAATCGGTTTGGCCAGCCGACATGCTGAATCATTTCCTGGTCCACATCTACTGGCAGACTATCGGGTTGCCGCCCAGAAGGCATCCCCTGGAATGGGAGAAGGACGGCGGCTGCTCGAGTCGTCTTCCACCTGACCAAGAACGAGGTCCACGCGACCAAATGGCGGGAGCATGCCTCCCTCCTGGCAATGCAGAGAGGGCTCACTCCCTTCCGCCACGACAGTGGCACCCTGCTGGGCTACCTCGCGGGCATGGATGCCTCCGCCCTGGCTGATGGCACCGTGGTCTCCCTGGCCAAGCAGGTGCCAGTCCAAACGGCCCTCGGGGCGGCGGGTCAGGCCGTTTCCTCTGCGTCCAGGTGGCTCGGAGAAACTGGGACAGGTGTGGGGCAAGGGCCCTAAAGCAGCACTCAGGGCACGCCGTTCGATTCCAAGGAGAAGGCCGCAGGACAGGCTTCCGCTGCAAGCAGCAGCGGACCACTGCAGCCTCCCCAAACGGTGCCGCGCAGTCCCAAGGTCAAAGAAGAGCCGCCACAGGACTGGGCCGCAGCGGCGGAGCAGAGTGGCGATGGGCAGCAGAGCAAGGTGGAAGCAGATGCACAAGAGTCCCAAGAACAGGCTGAGCCCAAGTTCCCCCAGACTACAGCCCGGAGAAGGAGCGGGGCACCAGCGAGAGCCCAGATGCCGACCCCCTACAAATCTTTCAAGGGCCACGCAGTGACCAGAAAGAGAGTGCCGAACAGAGCGACAGACCCGGCCCCAAGGAGGATGCCGGGAATGCCACTGGGAGCAACCTGCCCCCCTGGAGGCAAGAGCGCACGCGGCGCGCTACGAGGGGTACTTCTAGCGAAGAGGGGCAGCGAGCTCCGAAAACGCCCAGACGGAGCCCAGTGCGTCTGGAACCGAGGAAATGTAGCAGCTGCGACCACATGGTCTTCGGACACCTGAAGGACCCAGTCTCTGGCGGCCCAATGTACAGATGCTCCCTTGCCGACTCCTGGCTGGACAAGACTGCAGAGACGGCGGCCAAGATTGCTCGGCTCCAAAAGGCGCTCGGAGGCGTCTTCAACGGTATATGGTATGCGTGGGCCAAGCGTGCTTCGAAAGGAAAAGGTGGACACAAATGGGGCCCTCTGCTCAATGCCGAAGAAACCTGCAAGGGCTTCCTGGACGCCTGGAGGCGTGCCGGCTTCGACGCGTGCGAGATGGGCAGGGCTCGTGACCTCGGGGTTGACTGGGGCTCCATCCGTCGCCGGCATATCCGGAAGGGCGCCGGGTTGCAAGGGAAGGGCGCCCAGGCCTCCAGTTCAACCGACAGCCCGGCAGCCCATGCTGGCGAGTGGCGTGGATGGCAAGGGTGGTCCTCCTGGCGCGAAGACTGGCCCAAGTGGGGTAATTCTGAATGGAAAGGTGGTGGCAAGCGGTCTCCTCAGCGAGAGGGCCAGCACGACCCCGAACAGAGAGGCCGTTGGTGGTCGTAAGTCGACACCGCGCGCCGCTGCGCGCGTCTCCCTGGCACGTGGGCTCCCAGATCGCCCATTCCGCCATGGCATCATCGCAGTGTTTCGTGCAGCAGTGTGCTCTATTCTTACGTGGTTCCTCCTCCCACTTCCAATCGGAAAGGCGGCCATCAGCCGTCCCTGGCTCTTGCGATATTGACGCAACGGCCATCGGCCGTCCCTGGCAGTTACACCTCCGACCAAACGGCCATCGGCCGTCCCTGGCGCGACGATCCTGACAAAACGGCCATCGGCCGTCCCTGGCAGGACATCCCCGACCTCCCCGGCTTGCGGCCAGTCGCTCCCTGCCTCGCGGCTCGCCTGGCTGCTCTTGGCCCCGCGAGTGCCGGCCCGCTCCAGGGCCCGGTTCACCCCGCTGCGCCTTGGCCTGCCGGCCATATGCCGGGGGGGCAGCCAATCGCTGGGGCGGGCGGGCGCCCCCCGTCCGCCTCTGCGGCGCACTATAGCTAGACAGCCTCGGCTGGCTAGATGCGGGTGCAAAGGTGCGCGTCTACCGCGCCGACACCTGCAGCCACTGTCAGGCCCCGAGGGTGCGCCCGCCCCCCCAGCGCCTGTCTTGTCTCA